TGGCGGTGTCGGTGGAGGGGGGCGGGGTGGTGAGTGGCCACCACCCGCAGGCGCCGCCGGCAGTGTCAGCAGTGCCTTTTTGTAGGAGGTGCACTGCCAGGCTCAGGGCGTGCACCTGTGTGCGCCCCCTATGCATCGCCAGTGCTTCTGGGGTTTGCCAGTTGCCCCCTTCTCTGCCTTTTCTGCTGTGTCAGGGTGTTTTTAAGCCTTCCAACAGGTGTTGGATGCTGCCATACCAAAGGCTGAGGACTTTGACTGGGGTGTGCCAATGCTCCTGCTGGGAGAAAAGTCAGAGGTTCCTGGCTAGAGGGTCTTGCCGCTCCACTCAGTCAGACTGATCACTGTATTTGGAGTTGAAAAAGAATTTTACCCAATGCTCAGATTGGTACAGACTGTGGTGGTTTTTGCCTTCCTCTGTAGCAGGGAGCATGGCCCTTTACCCACAACCTCTTGAGCATATATTGATAACATTTTATAGAAGCAGAACTTTGGCTGCCATGATTCCCCTGCTTTACGTGTGGCAGGTTAGGGTGTTAGGCTGTTGTGTGAGGTTTAACAAGTCTTGCATAGAGTTTAGATTATGGTTGTATGGGATAGGGATGATCCTGCATCAGGCAGGGGATTGGACTAGACAACCTCTGGAGGTCTCTTCCAGCCCTATGTCTCTTATCAGAGGATATTTATTCCTCCAGACTTACAAGTGGCTGCAGAAACAGTGAAGACAGTCACGCACGTAAGGCTTTTATATAAGGAAGGCCAAACTCTCCGCTGGGAACTCATTCTTCAGGTTGCTTCTTTTCAGGCATTTTCATGACACCAGACACCTGAATAGATAATTTGTCAGAGCTGCTTTTGTGCTATTTCCATCCATGCTCTATCCTTCAAATGAAATCCAAAGAAAACCCTAAGCTTTGGAGTGTTCCTCCCATTCTTTCCTTCCTTCCTCTGCTCTCCCAAACAGCCTCATGGCCTGATCCTAGCTCTGTGCTGAGAACTCCATTATATAGCAAGACTATCTCATCCTTGTATGCTGTTCCAAGTTCAATACTAGCAAGCTCATGCTTCAGTTATTGCAGATTGTCTGTGGAGACCGGAAGGAATTCCCAGTCTCATAAATGCTACTTGGTTTCTGGTGGAAGGGAAGGGTGTGGGGGAAGTTCACCTTTGTTTGAAGCACTGGGACACTGACCACAACTAAGGCTGGGAGTTCTTGATTGCTGCACTGATACTCCTGCCAGCACTTAAAAAACCTAGAGGTTGCTGACCAGAAGCCTCAATCTTTCACTTTGGGTCATAGCTATCACCAAACTTGGGGGCCAGAAGGAATTTTCCTCCTAGTTCAGACTGGCAAATGTTGGTCCTCTTCCTAGAATCCACTAATAATATATCAACCTGTCATTGTGGTGGCAAGTAATTGGCTGAGCCCTTGTCTTTGCTTTTACCTATGGCATGATGCAAGGTGTTCTTGATCGTTGTGTGTGGAGAGTTTAGAACAGTGATTTGGGGAAATCTTTGGGTAAAGGTCACTTGAGAACATGAGACTGAACTCAGTGGCTCAGGGGGCCGGGCCTCATACAGTTCTACATTCAGATATACCAGCTTTGTAGCTTACCAGCCAGTAGCTCTATTCCATAGCTTGACTATTGGACACCAGTCACTGCCCAATTGCAAACAGTAGGTAGGAGCAATGCTGTACTGCTTAGCAGGAAGAACTGCTTCAGTGTGACCATGGGAGTCCCTCTCAGCTCACAGGTCTCATTTCCAAAGGAAAGGGGATGGTTGTGCCATTACTGTTCCTGCTGGAAAGGAAGCATTTTGGTTTTGTATGTTAGAGACAATCACCACCAGTTATGCTAGAATGTAGGTGCATTCTAGAAAATGAAATGTGCAATGGCAACGTCAATGCTCTAGAGCTGTAGGGGCCAATTTTTTTGCCAGGCTTGCCACAAACTAGCTCTGCACCCTCCTAAGTGCTACTCTGATCCCCTTTCCCTGCCTGATCTGCTGCTCTACTTTCTTCTCCCCATGATGTACTCCTTCCTTACCTAATCTGATGTTGCTTTTTACTCCCTGCCCTGTGGTGTCTAACCAAGCTGCTGCTCTGCATTCTGCTCCCTGCACTGATATTGTGCTGCCTGTCCCCTCCCCAATCTGCCGTGTGCCACACATAGAGACTGTACCACAGGGTGGCCAACCCTGCTCTAGAGGAAGGATTCTTGACCTCTGAAACACCTGAGAGAGTCAGTGGCTTCTTCTGGAGCATCTACTAGTGGCAGTTCCATGCTATTCCTCTACAACTATTTTAACCCCTGGCCATTGCATCAGATTTACTCAGCATGAAGGAAGTGAATAATTAGGACAGGGAAGCATGGGGAAAAGCTAAGGTCTGTGTCTGTGTGCAGAAAGGAAACTGCATGAGGGGTACACAAGGAAATATGAGGAGCAGAGGAAAAAGGGAGAAAAAAAAATGAAAGCAACCAACTACCTTTGATTTCTGGGACAGGAACACATCCAGAATGCCCTAGTGACTCCAAGGAGTCCCTGAAATGAGATTTTTATCCTTAATTTGAGAACTTGGTCCTATATCAGCACCAGGCACACCTGGAATTGTATAAGCCCTGAAACTGCCTTAAACCCATCAGCTGCATAGCTCATAAATGCACAGCATCCAGATCCCATCCTGGATTTTTTTTTCCTGGCAAGTTTGTTGCTTTAAAGAAAATGGATGTGGTGGGTGTGGGGAAATGCCAGAGGACATAGAGGCAGAAACTAGGGTGAGAATACAAGGGAATGTGAAGCCAAGGGAAAATGGATTGTACAATGCTAGAAGGGGGTAGAAGTAGCACGTGCCTCCTACTGGAGAGCTCCAAGAGAAAAGATGATCATTCCTTTAAATCCGTAGGAATCCAAACTGTATGGCATTTTGTATAATTTAAAAAACAAAACAAAAATTCTCAGCTAAAACCAAAGACTGGGATTAAGGCTGAATATGTATTCAGCAATGAAACATAAAAATCTTACAAGGATTTTGTAATTATTCCATCCCCCACCACATAGCAGAGCATTTAAGGCAGAGCACTCAATCTGCAGGATTTTCCTGGGATCAGCTGCAGTTTAGGGCATTTCCTGAACACCAGAAATTCCCAGAATCAAACAAAAGACTATTCTTCTAAAAGTATCCAGTGAGACCACTACAGGCAGCTCAAATGTCTACAGCAAACACCAAAGAACAAAAGAACTTTATTTGATCTACAATGCTTTCTTTAAGGTTTTCAGCCATTTTAGTGCACATTTTTAAAACTAAGTTCAGGAGCTATTTTGTTTTCCATTTTATTAAAAAACTACACTGTATGGTGCAAAGAAAGGTTTGATCAAACACAGCAATGAAAATAGCCATGGCACTGACAGAGCACTTCACCCACCCATTGCCACCAGATTTCCAGCTCAATGATTCTCTGCTCTTCACAGTCAAGTATACATCATTTCTGCCATGTGGGACATTTTCTTGGGAATATACAAGTAATATTCCATATAGCCTGAAAGATCTTCAATAGTCACGTCATCCACGAAGGCTCGAGCTTGCTCTGAACAAGACCGAGGAGAACCTGTCGAAGCCACAGTAGCGGGTGATCTTTTCTGCAAGGACTGAGAATGCACTCCGAGTACTGCCTTTTCACATTCTGACAGGACGCTTCGCAAGCCAGAGAAAGAATACACTTCCATGGCTTGCCACTTTTTGCACTGGCACTTCTTGTCCACGCAAGGGCACTGCTTGCCATTGCTGAGCTTGGATAATGCTTGGAAATCTGAAGGTTGACTAGAATCCAGGTTGGTTTCAAAGGATGAGGAAATAGCAGCACAACTCTCTCTCAAATTCTCTGAAGGATGTTTAGTTGTGGAAGCCACTAAAATTTCAGTTTTGGCTCTTCGGTGACTACTGGCAGTGAAGTGGGAATCATTTCTTTCACCTGTGCATGGTTCTTCTGTAGCACAAATGTCTGCACTGGTATTACTCTTTGAAGCCTCCGGCTGGTTTTTATGTTTCAACTGGCTGCTGGCTTTCATACTACAGTATGTAAACTTTGGAGGATGTAGGACAGGAGACTTGGAACGCCTGCGACGAGGAGTTCTTGCCGACCCTCTTGAAGGCTTCCTTATACACCTGTCATTGAACAATACACCAACAAACAGGTTACTCAGAAACCTCTTCCATAGTTTGAATGCTTTCTAAAATGGCCTCAGAGCATGGCAGTATCAAGTATCAAACCTAAATGATAATTATCAATAGAATCTGAACACTCCTCTGGGTTTAGAACATCAGCTGCAGAAAACAATCACAAAAGAGAACTGCTGGTATTCAAAGACCCTGACAATGCTTCATGTCAGCTACAAATGACAACAGTGACTGTACTTTTAAATATAATGTGGAAAGTGGGTGGGGACTGGTTACTTCCACCCCAGTTTATGCTGCAAGCAAGAGGAGGAGGGTGACATGGAAGCAGCTAGAGTTTAGTGGAAAGTTGTAGAAGTGTTGTTGACCCAGAGGAGGCACAATTTACTGCTGTAAGACATTTTTTGTAACTAAACACCACACTAAGCTGCATAAATACTATACCTGCTACTAAAGAAAGCAGCAATGGACTCAGGCAGAAGGATGTATCCTACTCCTGAGAACTGCTAGCATTTATGATGTAATAGGAATTGAGCTGATGTATCATAGTTGGGAACCTACCAAATTTGGGGCAGAAGTTGGGTACCCACTGGCTCCTTCAATCTTACAGGTTCCCCGCATGCCCCACCCCCCTAATTGGTGGAGGGGCCTGGCAACTCGCTACTTACCATTCCCTGCTTGCTCCTGATTGGCAGGGAAGCAAAAACCACGTTTTAAAATATGGTGCTATTTTTGCCTCCCTGCTTGTCAGCAGCAAGCAGCAGAGCCACCACGGCCCCTCAGCCAGTCAAAGGCAAAAACGGTGCCATATTTAAAACCGCAGTTTTCACCTCCCCACCAATCAAGAGTGAGCAGCAAGTGGGAAGCGGGGAGCAGTGACGCCCCTTCACCAATCAGTAGCAGTGGGGTGTATGAGGGAACCTGCAAGATTAAAGAAGCTGCCATGCACCCCACTTCTGCCACAAATCTGTTAGGTCCCTAGTCATAGTATTTGAATATATGGCTGTTATGTAAGAATCTAAAAATACTGATATGTACCCTAGTTATTGAAGGACTGTGCAATTTATGCTGTGATAGCAAAATGCTTATTATATGCCATAAGCCATAAACTCAAAAACAGTCTGGGAAGATTAGGAGGATGGAAGCACCATAATGGAACATCTGAGTACATTTGAAAGACCCATGGGCCCAACTGCTACCTTTAAAGATCCTGGCTCTAAAAGTTGACAACTTGTTTTGCCAAAGCTAGAAACAGCAAAACAGAGCTGCAATCAGTGAAAGTATGTTCTGATTCTTACAAAGAGAGGCAGTTACTTATTAGCAGTTTTTGTGAAAGGACAGGCTGAGGGCCAGGGGCTGTGGAGGAATCTGAAGGAACTGGGCCTTCTCAGGTTCAAGGAATGGCAAGCCTTAGGGGAAAAATTAGTACAAGACCAAAAGGAAAGCGCTCTCAAAGAAATCACGGATAACTAACTGAATTACTGTGACAGTATGTTACAGGTATGCCTCTAAGGGAGAAACAGCAAATAGTATTTGCTTCAACTATTTGTTGAAAGGCTCTTAGGCAACAATCAAATTGAAATACTTTAAAGTTTTTTATAAATAAAAAATGAGAAAAAAAGTACAATTATAAAAATGTTTAATTAATAATAACCCTTTTGAAATGACTTTGTGCAAGTCTTCAGGATCTCAGATGAAGAGGGGAATACATGTACAGTCCTGTTAATTTGTTTTACCCATGCCACGTCTCCTTTGAACAGACAGACTGTGGTCTGGCTCCATCCGTAGCTGCTCTTATCGGTGCTCTCAGAATTGTCCCCTCACCCAGAGAGAGAGAGGCAACAGATCTGAAAGGAAAAATGCTGTATTAAGAAAGGGCTATAATGTATGCTCTCACACTGTCTGCAGATTGTGGTCACGCCTTATTCCTGTCAAAAAGATGTGCTACCAGAAAGTAAATTCAAGTTCCAATTTCTATTTTACACATTATTAAACAGACTCCTGGTTTCACTGAAAACACAAGGATAGGTCTTAGCATCAGGCCAAAGAGCTAGTTGGCAGGAAGGATGATGTGGCCATAGAAATGAAGCAGCTATTTGTGTGTTTCTCATTGATTCTCCCAGTTACATATCTGGTGTAGACAAATCCTCCTCAGAGGACTCCCTACCACCTGAAGTTTTGGGGGATTAATTACATAGCATACCATTTCTGGACTGATCTGCCCTTTCAATCCTCCTGACTACATGTGGGAGAAGAGGAGAATGAGCCGAAGAGTGGAAAGAATAATCAGGAAAGACAGCAAGAGTTTTACCAAGTGTGCTCTTTCAGCAATAGTGTTGTTAGAAGAGCTGCAGGAGGTACATACAGTAAGGGCATTTCCTAAGTTTTTCCACCTAAAGAGCAGCTGGCTTTCCTGAAATTTATTTAATAGAAAACAACTTAACGCAGAAAAATGTTACCAACTTAAAGCTCATCCCTAACTTCTTAAACTAACTTCTCATCCCTAACTTCTCCTGAGGCTAGAACAGTCCTGACTGGGTTATATACAGTCATCATCAATGCTAGGCACTTCCCCAATCTATATACTCCTGGAGGCCTTGCCCTTATGTGGAATCATGTGAAACACAACATATCTACACTAGATTGCACAGTTCTACTGTCTCACCCACTTGTTTAAAGAATAAATTAGTACTATGTAGTACTGATACATCCTATTCCATTAAAAACCATCAAATAACTGTTTCAAGGGAAGCCTGCAAACTTTTTCAGTAAGCTCCTGAGAGATGAGAAGCTAAGCAGGGTTAGTACTTGATTGGAAGACTGAAAAGGATACACAGGGTGCCCAGGAATGCTACTAGTAATGGTAATTAGTATCCTTCCTTCAAACTCAGTTGTGAGCCATTGCCCAGCATCACGGTAGCCAATGATGGACTGCTAGAGTTCCTGTTCATGGGAGGTTATTAAAAGTTTTCAAAGCTCAAAGTTATTCTAAGAGTGAGTCCACTGATGTGGGCAAATAATTATCTCCTGACTTTTCTGTATTCTCTCTGCAGTTTCAAGATACAGTGTTCTTCACTCTCTATACTAGCTGACGGTGTGGTATTGTACTGGACACCAAGTAGCTGTTGTGCTCCAGAAGGGAATCTTTCAGTTGGTTGTCTGAAACAAACTATTTATGCTCTTCACTTTGCCTGCCACAGAGGATAGGACAAGGCTGTAGGACTTAGGTAATACATATAAAGTACTGACCCATGCAAAACAAATACACACACAATTTTTTGTTAAAATTTTGTGAACTTTGATTTTTTTTTGCCTGTTTACTTACCCTGCTGCATCCACCCTTAGCTTTTTGAAAGCTGTCTGAAGACTCTCTTCCTCTTCATCTTTTGCTTCCAAGTCCATTGATGGGCTGTCAGAGTATCATTGACTGGGCCATATATTGTATACTGAAAAATAGACAAATTTGTGATTTAATAGCAAGAACAGAAGACTTGTTTCTGAAAAGAACTCCACACAACTGAAAGATACTATACAGGATCAATCTCTCATCCTTCAGGTTAAAACAACTGCATTAGCACTTATTCTGCATAAACTGCACGCTCAGCATTTGTTCACAACACAGAAGATGAAGTCCCTGCCTCCCAAAATTTACAATTTAACAATTTACAATTCACTAGACATATAGCATAAGATTTTGGCAAAAGGTATCAGTTTATAAAACAGTAACTCTGGCATTTTGATTTCTATGTAGGTACTTAACAGTGCAGTAGGTAAGCCTAATCATGCAAATTCCTGTTGCAACAACATATGCTGTGGAATTAAAAAAAAGTTTTATCAATAAGGTAAAGAGAAACTAACCATAGAAATGCAGGATTGGAAGAGGCATCAAGAGGTTATCTTGTTCTACCACCCTGTTCTGAAGCAGGATGGGTATACCTAGGTCATCCCTGATTGATTTGGTTAAACTAATTAAAAAGATCCCATAACCTCTCCAAGTAGACTATTCCCTTATTTTTCCTTACATTTAGAGAGCTTTTCCTAATACCTAAACTTAAACCTTTGTTTTCTGAAAATTAAACTGGTTTCTTTTTCTACCCATAACATACATAAAACACAACTGATTGCTATCTTATTTATAAGCAACTTTTTTCTAGAACACACAAACTCAATTCTTTTCTTAGAGTTCATGTTTTCTAATGCTCTTATCACCACTGTCCCTTCTGATTCTCCTTCTTAAAGCCATGATGATGGATGATCACTCACATACGAGTAAGATTGTCTTCCAAGGATCTTAATAGTGAGTCTTAATAGTGGGCTCCACAGCCCAATTCTAGATCCACATGTCTTGTCGCAGTGAGGACAGGTGTTTCCAGGAGGGATGGGCACCGTGTTGCTGCACTGGATGTTTTGATGTTCTTTTCATCTGTTCCTCTTTTCCTCTTCTGCCTGTTGACGAGCTGTTTTGAAGTGTTGAGGTCCTTCCCAAAGAGCCTTCCTCCATTTTTGCTGTCCTGAGCAAGGGTGTTCCAAGTGTTGTTGTCAGAGTTACACCTCTTCATGTTTGCCTTCAGGGTGTCTTTGAAGTGCTTTCTTTGCTCTTCACTACTTCGCTGTATGGTCATTTTAACCTCTGTACTCCAGGGAAGGCCGCCTCAGCTCCAAGCAATATGAAATAAATCCCTTCCAGGCGTCCCATAAAACATTCCTGTTAATATTCTAGAACATTTACCTTTTTTACAAGATAATCATATTGTCGACTCATTCTGTTTGTGGTCCTCTATGTTCCCCCATCCGTTTTTTCAGTACCACCTCAGAAGTCATTCCTTATTTTATATTTGCACATTTGATTTCTCTTGTCTATGTGCAATATTTTGAAATTTGCTTTACTGAACTTTGACTTGTAGATTTCAGATCAAGCTTCCAATTTTGAATTCCAATCCTTTCTTCCAAGTGCATTCAACCCTCAGGCACTTGACATTCTCTGTATTTTATAAGTTCACTTTGTACTCTATCATCCAAGTAATTAACTAAAATATTTAACGTGCCCACAATAGGCTTCTACAGGACCCTACTTCAAATATCCTTCCGATTTGACAATGAACCGTTGATAATTACTTGAGTAGATATTCAGCTGTGACCCACCTTTCACAATTTCATCTAAACTGTATTTCTCTAGTGTGCTTAAAAGATCATGTGGAAAAACGTCAAAAGCCTTACTAAAAAAAAAATCAAGATATCTCTTTTCTCTTACCAAGCCAGTTCTCTCATCAAAGAACATTAGATTGGCTTGATAATTTGTTCTTGAAAAAAAATCAATGTTGGCTGTTTTCATTATCTTATCCTCTAGATGTTTGCAAATTGATCAATAAGTAATTTGTTCCAGAATCTTTCCGGATATTAAAGTCAGGCTGACTGTTCTGTAACTCCCCAGCTCCTCCTTTTCCCCTCTTTTTACAGACAGGTAATAGGTCTGTCCTCGTCCACTCTTCAGGGAACTCCCTATCCTCTTCTCAAAGATAATTGCTGATGGTTCAGAGATTGCTTAAACTAGTTCAGTGATTTTCAACCAGGATGTTGGGGCACCCTGGGATGCCATGAGATTCTCTAAAAGGTGTCACAGGGAATGTAAGGAGATACGTGAGGTGATAAGCAGATAAGAGCAGGCTCAGGCTTTCCCTGCCTGACTGCTCTCCTGCCCCCACTGTCTGACCCTCCTGCAAAGAGGCAAGCACTGTAATAAATGCATTCATTTTTTAAATAGGGTGCTCTGTTCAATATCTAAAAGTTATGGAGGAGTTGCTCAAGTCTAACAAGGGGTTCTTTGAGTCTAACAAGGTTTAGAACTACTGAGCTAGTTCCTTTAATGCTCAAGGAAGAATATCAGCAGGCCCCATCAGCTTAAATATATTATGTATTTATCTAAAAATCTTTTATCTGTTCTTTACCTATTCTGGCCTGACATACAACACAAGAAACAAAACCTAAAAAACAGTATGTACACTCTTTGCTCAGAAGAATGCTAAAATCACACTAAGCAAGGCAAATTTCAGGCGCAGGGTGGCACTCCACCTAAGTGGAATGATTTAGCAGGGGTGTCAACTCACCCTGGACCAGGTTCAGATTGCAGGGGCTCCTCCTGGGCTGGATCTGCAGGACCAGTAGCAACTGCAGTGGGGTCACATGCAGGCAGCAACGCTGAGCCACATTTGCACAGCAGTACAGGTCCAGGGACATGCAGCAATGTTGAGCTGTGTTTGGATGGCAGTTCAGGTCCAGGGGAGGTGCCACTGATGGCCATGTCTACTAGGATCCAGGGACCCCAAATTCTGCAGACTGAACAGTCCCGCAGGCTGTATTTGGACCCAAGGACATAGATTTGACAGCCCTGATTTAGAGCTCAAAGCCGTTCTATTATAGTTGAATTGCCTCATTTTGGGAATGTGATGCACATGGTGGGGGAGGAGCTTGAGAAGCAGAACAAGGTGCCCCCAGGGTCAGTGCAGAGGCAGTGTGGACGTTGAAACAGTTAAGACAGTTGCACTGCTTCTGCAACTTATCCTTCTTTAGACAGGATACACCCAGACAAGACTATAAGACCACAGTCAATAAAGTACTTACTGGCAAACAAATATCCTTCTGGGCATGTGCTCAGTCACTGCTAAACAATAAACAGTGTCCTGGATATGAAAATCTACCCACTATCTACCCACTACCAGACTCTTCAGTTGTATGGAGAACAATCCAGTTTCAACTAGCAACAGGAACAAGAAGAAAGGCAGTTTCTGAACTGGACAAACCCAAACAGAAATAAGCCTGCCATGCTGCGTGGTGTTGGTTCCAACACAGGTTATTTTTAAACACTGAAAGTGATTGGCCAAATTAAGGGAACACTTATCTCCATAAAATGCTGTATTTAAAAAGGGAAGAGAACATTACCCTATTTTTAGTCAATGGCAAGATTGAATAAGCTTCTATCCACTCCAGAACTACAGTGTACTAATTTAATAGCAAAGTGCTCCCAAACAGAAGAAAAAGCTTTAGCTTTAACTCTTGTGTATATATGCTAAATAATCCCAACTCTCCACCCTTGCTACTACATGTAATAGGGTGTTTTTAAGCGTCTCTCAGGGGCATTGGGTGTTGGCTGCAGCCAAGGCCGGGGACTTTGGCTGGGTGTGCCAATGATCCTGCTGGGATTTAAAGCTGGAGATTCCTGGATAGAAGGTCTTGCCTCACTGCTCAGGGTGAGATTGACACCATATTTAGGGCCAGGAAGGAATTTTATCCCATGGTTAGACTGGTACAGACTTGGGGGAGCGGGGGTTGCTTCCCTCTGCCTGCTACCACAGGGTCAGACCAGGACCCTCCACCTGGGATTTCTTAAGCGCACATCAACATCCATTTACAGCAGCAGGATGTCAGATGCTGCAGTCCCCCTGCTTTCCCTGTGGCAAATTCGGATGTGATGTCTTATGCTGTCAGGGCAGACGGTATTTTTACAAAGAGTTCTGATAATGGATTTGTATGGGGTGACTTAGATAGGGCCTCAGGCAAGGGGCTGGACTAGATGTGACCTATGGAGGTCCCTTCCAGCCCCACTTGCTATATGATCCTATATACAACTTGAAGAGAATTATTTCAGTTCAGAGGTCCCTGAAGGAACTATGTTCAGCCTTAACAAATCTGTCTGCAAGAAGCGAGAGATGCATAGAAAGTTTGTTATTAATGGCACTAAGGACAGGATCTGCAACACAAGAACCACCTGCATGCCTAGATGGTTCCCAATAGTGCTTGGGGACTGTGACAGGTAGTCACTCTGGGCCGCCCTCAATGTGACCCGCACACCTGTCTCTGGGGCAACCGCCTGCCTACTCGCCTGCCACGCCTTCCCTTTCAGTTCAATGCGGTCACCCAGGTGGTGATTCACGTTCACCATAACCATTATCATCATAGCTGCTTCAAAGACACCCAGCTCCTGTCACAAAGTAGACAGGTTTTGTTCACACTGTCTCATAATTGGCCATGTATGCCTTTACCTTCTCCAACTCCCGGGCGATCACCTCCCCATTTTCTTTGGTCTGAGCATGATTTTCAAGCAGTTGGTCCCGCAGCTCCTGAACTAGTCGTTCTGCATGTATACACTTCTGCTGCCAGTCCGCCACCTTGTCTTGCAACCCCCCCCCATTCAGTCCACCTGACTGCGGACTTCTCTCTACAGGACCCCTATTAGGTCTCTTGATGCCTCCCTCTGCATCATCTTTAGGGTTGCTTCTACTTGCGGGTCTGTGTTGCTGTTCCCTTTCTAAATACCTCTCTCGGTTCCTGTTTTAGCCCTAGGGTTCGTCTTTCCCTCCGCGGGCACTTCGATTCCATACTCGTACACGGCCTTACTTTCCCGGCCAATGCACCACTGTGACAGGTCGTCGCTCTGGGCTGCCCTCAGTGT